TGTGTATACAGGTTATGCCTTCCCACTCACTGGATGTCACTCAGCAATCCACTAAGCTAATTTCCCTGCTTGTAAGAAGAGACAAAACCAACATTCTTCTAGAATTCAATGAGATAGTCCCCATGAAAGACTGTGAAAGAACTGTAAGGCTCCAAACTTTGGCAGCAGTTATTATGTTTACTGTTCTCTCCAGAACCAGAGAAAAGAGCTTTTAAGAGAATTGAGATTCCCTGAAGCTCACGTGAAGACTGTGTGGGTGGCCACAACGGCTGCTTCTGGTAGACAGAGTTTGAGTAAGCACACATTTGTTTAAACTTGTTTCCTTAATTTACTGCAATTGTGACTCCCTGCCAGTGAGGATATGTTCTCAATGTTCTATGAATAATTGAAAATTAAAAGGAAAACTTGCTGGGAGTAAGCCCATCCCAGTATTTCTTCTTTAAGTACACACACATACACACACACACACAATATTGGTCAGTAAAAATAAAAAAAGAAAAGAAATCTTCTAAGAACAAGATTAGAAGATGTTGTCAGGCCAGGAGAAAAACAAATTTCAATACATATGACAAAGATAATTTTATAACAGAGGCAACTTTTGAAATCAGTATGTTGTGGGCCTAAGTATTTTTATCTTTCTTCCAGGTTCTTGCCCACAGAGATAAGACTACAAAGAAGAGGCATATATACAGTGCACAAGTAAGAGCAGGATTCATTTAAAAGAGAGAGTAAACATATTTTTATGCATGAGGTGGGCCACCCTACACTGAAAGACACCTGTCATGAGTGGGCCAGAGAGTTGCCTATGAGGAGGAGAGAGGGAAGGGTCCCAGGAAGGATTCCCAACATGGTCCAGAGCAAAAGAAAGATCCCTGCCACATTATCCGTCTCTCTTTTTAAAATTATTTATTTAATCACTTATTTGAAAGGCAGAGTTACAGAGAGAGAGAGAGAGGAAGAGACACAGAGAGACAGAGGATAGAGAGAGAAAGATCTATATTCCATTCACTGGTTCACTTCCCAGATGGCAGCAAAGCCAGGGGTAGGTTAGGCTGATGCCAGGAGCCAGAAAGTCCATCCAGGTCTCCCACACAGATGACAGGGGTCCAAGTACTTGGACCATCTTCCTCCACCTTCCTTGCACAGTAATAGGAAGCTGGATTGGAAGCAGAGCAGCCAGGACTCAAATGGGCACTCTGATATGGCATTGCAAGTGGGTGCTTAACATGCTGTGCCATAATACTGGATCATATAAATTCTAAATAAATTCCAATAAATAGAATTCATTTGTTTCACAAATTATTAAGTACTAGAATGTTTTACCAGGGCAGAGAATACAACTCGTATGTTCAAGCATAATCTCGTCATTTTCTACTCTTCAAATTCAAAAGCCACAAAATTTGAGCTATGTGTAAATATAGCAATATATAATAGTGGATGCTAGAAGAGTCTAGAGTATCTATGGTGCTAGAAAGTAAGATACACTAAAAGGACAACAACAAAGAACAATCTTATATCAATGGGGATGTCAAAAAAAGAAAAGAAAAGAAAAACTGGAATCAAGAGAAAGAGCTCCTACAGGCCAAAGATAGAACAATCTGAGCAACAAAAATACAGTAATGCTGTATTGTAATCCAGGTATAAAATACTCTTGGGTTCATATTAATACATGTAATTAAATAAAGAAATGGAAGAGAGAGAGAGAAAAATCTCTTTTGCAGAATAATTGCAAATAATTGCTATAGATTCTCTACTGTTAGGGAGATGAGACAGAACTCCTCACTCCTTTATAGTGACTTTCTTTCAAAAGTATACAATATGAGAAGGAGGCAAAAACTAACTTCATGGTGAAGAGATTTGACAAACACTATATCAGGGTCAATATAAATAGGGATAAATTATGTTGACTATGTACCTCTAGTATGATGTGATGAAAATGTCACTTTATTTCTGTTAGTCTTCCTCCAAAAACAGCAAACAACAGTCTAATCACAAGATTTAAAGGGCATACTCCATGAAACTGGGAAGATCATCCAAAAAGAAAGGACTGATAAATATATATCTATATATAGAAAGATAAATAATAATAAAACAGAACATAAAAGCCAAAGGAAAATCATTAAAAGGTGAGAGGAAAAAGATTAGATTTATTTGAAGCAAAAATTAACTTGCACCTTAGAACATGTACACAGATTCTATCTGTCATTCTAGAGCTAGAGTAAAATGCAGATACAGAAAGAACAAGAGAATTTACCATTCAAAACCTTTCCTGTGATAGCTAATAAAGGATATGTCTCAGAAGAAGAAAAGTGAATCATAATGAAGAAGCAATGAAAAGAGCAGACATTTTTTAATGCAGTGGCAAAATAATCTTACGGCAATGTTGTATGTTTTGAAAAATATAATGCTAAAGAATAAATCAGTCAATGAATTGTTTGGGGAACTGGCTATATATATGCAAATACTTTGATCAATTTGATGTTTGAGTTTTGATTTTGTTACTGGGTTTTTAGCTATACTGAAGTTCCACATTTTCATATATATTATTTATATAATTTTGTTAATTTTGATTCTTGGGTGGAAAGTTTTGCTCATAATACAAGGTTCTAAAAACTAAATTTTTAAGCACTTCTGCTTCTCCTATTTATAAAACTTCAGAGACACAGTGAATCTACTAATGTAGGAAATAGGAATATACTTATCTATTGAAATAGAGAATAGGTTACATGTTAAAGTAGGAAAGAATAATTTTAAATAATATGAGGCAGGGAAGAGAATAAATGTTATCACAAAATCTTAAATATTATGATAAAAAATTTAAATTTACTCTACATTTACACTGAAAATTGTTTTCAAACAAGAATATCAATTATTTCTTATAGTTTTCTGAGAGAATGCTCTGTCTCCAGGAAGGAAATAAAACTATCAGTAGTGCTACTGGTATGGCATTTTAAATTAGATATTGAAAGTATTAAACGTGAAAAGACATTGTGTTTATTTCTTTTTTTCTCCCACATATTTTAGACTGCATTTTTGAGTGCTACAGGACAGTTTAAATGTGTAATGGAGTTACTGGGTTGGAAAAAGTCCCAATTTGATAACAGTTGATTGAAGCAAAAGGTTAATTTTGTTAGGAACTCATAGATCTGTCTACCCCCTCCAAAACCAATAAACAACAATGAAAAAACTGTTTTCCTACCTTCAGATGTATTTTATGCTTTTTTTCAAAGTTGTGGACTGTGGGCCACTTTTATAACAACTGAAGTATATTAAAAGGTAGAATATGGATTTTGAGCACCGTGGGATGAAAGTACAGCCTCTGAGAGCAGATGGTCCTAGATCAGGGCTGGCAGGTTTAGCAAATGAAAACACAGGATGCCCAGTTACAATAGAATTTCATTTAACCAGTGGATAATTTTCACTGTGTGTCCCATGTAATAGTTTATCAAGTAACCCTATGCTGGATTTGAATCCCAGCACCATTTTTCCCTGCTGAATGGCTCTAAGAAGCTATCTCTTTTCCCAGTCTTCATTTGCCAATCAAGGAAACTAATAGCCACTTTTTGGGTTATTGTAAGTCTTGAAATAGATATTGAACACAAAAGAACTTGAGTGATATCTAAAATGTGACAGGTGCCTAAGAAATGTTAGACATTTTTCCCTCTTCTGAGTCTCTGTTTAGCTACATGGAAATAGCTATAGTTATAATTTTATGATCATCAAGTGAAGACATATGTAAATCAGTAATGGATAAACTAATGGTTTGGACAGTTCTTAATTAATTAACAGTCCTTAATTAATTAACTTATGCCCATGTTATCCTTCTTATCTCACAACAATCATTAATAATCCTGAGACATGAGAGGGTGAACAGGGGCTAGGTTACTGCCCAAAGTAAAAGTTTTGATTCCCCATCTCCATTGAATTGTCTCACAGATTTCCCAATTTTGATAAAATATTCAAAAATTTCTCCCGTGGTCAAACTAAAACCTAGAAGGAATTTAGTATGATCCCAATTAAAATAGAATGAAATTTTCCATAGAAATGCAAGGAATCTAAAATATTCAAAAGAATTCTGAAAAAAAAAGCGAGTATAACTAACACCTACTCTTTGGTTAATAATATCGTTCTCAAATATAAGAAACCAGGGTCCTTGGAGAAATGGCTGATTTTTGGATAGAGGCAAGGGATTTATACTAGAGGAGTCAAGAGTATCTTAAGGTGCTAGAAAGTAAGATACACTAAAATGATAAAGAACAACCTTGTATCAGTGGGGATGTTGAACAGAAACTAGAGCCAAGAGAAAGACAAAGATAGAACAACTTGAGTAACAAAATACAGTAATGTTATATTGTAATCCAGGTATAAAATAATCAAGTTCATATTAATACATGTAATTAAATAAATAAGTGGAAGGGAGAGAGAAAGGGAAATCTTTCTTGTAGAATAATTTAATATTTTCTGTTAGATCCTCCACAGTTAGGGAGATGAGACAGAACTCCTTACTCTTTAGTAGTGACTTCCTTTCAAAGCATACAGTATGAGAAGGAGGCAAAATCTAACTTCATGGTGAAGAGATGTGACAAACACTATTTCTTTTTTTTTTTTTTAGTTTTAACATCAGTGTTTTAATACAATGATATGCAAGTGTGAAACATTGTATAAGTATAGCTTTTACCACATGGAGATGGAATAATACATTTATCTTTTTACCAGAATCTTCAGTAACATCCAGTATTTGCTCCTGTGCCTATGTCTTTCCACAGAGATTTTTAAATATTACTATGAGGGTTTTCTTTTATCATGAATTTAAAAAGCTCAGAATTCTTCAACTATTACAGATTTACATTTATCTTACTATTCCTGTTCAAGATGTTTTGGAGAACTGTTAAATACAAAATCACCTTAGCGAAGAATTTTGAATGGGTAGTATTATCTCATGTTGGCAAGATCTTCCTGTTGACATTACAAAGACACTGTAAATTTTTCTGAGGTTATAAAAAGTGTTCCCTCAGTAACTCTCAATGGGAAATTACCATTTCTTGAAAAGTTCAGAATGTCATGATAGTAAGTAGTTAAGCAAAAATTCCCAAAACCCCACTTACAGAAGACAATTGCAACAGAAGACCTTTACATCCCCAATATACTAAACAAAAACAAGTTCACAGATACTCAAACTGTCTGTCTTTCCTATCTGTAACATAGCTTAACCACAGTGAGAGTAACAATAGCCAATAAAGAAAAAGTTCACTGTGCTAGTATCCAGCATTCAGCTTCCATCATGCCTCACAGTTTTCGGCCATTTCAGCTAAGAGTGTTCTTTGTGACAGCCAAAAAATAAAAGGATGAAAGTAGCAACAACTTTGCTGGGAAATGTGGGGGAAAATGCTAATTTCATAAAATATTTGAAACCAATTTTGTTTTTATAAATAAAATGGTATTTATCTTTTTAAGAATCATTCAAAATTATGTCAATCTTTAGGGGTAAACGTCGAGGCAGTTAAAATAGCGTGTTTGGAAAATAACCAAATTTCTAACTGTCAGCATTACACTTTGTTCTTGGCAGAATCATCTTTGTTTCTTCTTTTTACATCCCAATTATAAACCCTGGCCATATTGACTTCTGTGGTAGTAAATTGATCTCGAAGAAAGTCAAGGTCTTCTTCAAGAGAATCAAGATTCTTTGTGGCTGTCAATAAATTCTTTTCCAACAAAGCCTGAGCTTCATCAATGTCATATTCAAGCACAACATTAGCCCCCAACCACAGACACACTTTATCAGTGGGAGGAACTGAAGCTTTGCAGTACAGATTATCTGCCAATAAGAACCTGGTCTCCAGTGAACTGGTGGACTCTTTTTTCTTCTGCATGCATGTATTTTAAAATTTCCAAAGTCTGCTTAATTTCAGGAATCTGACCCTTTAGCCTCCGTTTCTTTTGAGCAAGATTGAGTTCCATAAATTTATACTTCTGGTACTGCTCATCCAGCTTCTTTAGTACTGTATCTGCAGTCTCATTCCCAGGCTGTTTCATGAAGGAATCTACATCTTCCATAAATACTGCCTCAGGAATCCCCAGGTGAAGCCGCCGCCCGTTCCCCGCGGTCACTTCCATGCCACAACCGTCCTTAGCGGCCGCCATGTTGGGGAAGCAACGACAAACACTATTTCTAACACCATCAGGGTCAATATCAATGAAGATAAATAACGTTGGACTATGTACCACTAGTATGATGTGATGAAAATGCCAGTTTAACTCTGTTAGTCTTCCTCCAAAAGCTGTAAACAACAGTCTAATCACAGGGTTAAAAAAATACAGAAAAATTAGAATTCAAGAGCATCTATAGAATATTTAACCAATATTCCATGGAACTATTAAGATCACCCAAAAAGAAAAGATTGGGAAACTATCACAACCAAGAGGAATCTAAAGAAATAAATGTCCTGTAGTATCCTGGAATAGGAGAAGCATCGAGTAAAGACTAAAATGAACTAGAAATGGATCACAGATCTAAAATAACTAAAATGTCTTTTAAAGAAAACATGAGAGAAAATCTTTGTACCCCCTTTAATCTTTTTAATAAAAAAGAATTACTAGCTATCAGAGAAAAGATTGTTAGTTGAGCTTCACCAAATTTAAAAACATTTTCATATTCAAAAGACACCATTGAGAAAATGAAAAGGTAAGAGACAGAGGGAGAGAGAAAGAGAGAGAGAGAGAAATGTCCCCAATATACTATCTGACAAAGGACTTAGAAAAAATAAATTTTCAGATAGAGAAAAGTAAACAGACATTTTTAAAAGGTGATATAATTCATGACCATATAAACACACACATATAATGTTCAACATTATTTCTCATCAGAAAAATGTAGATTGCAGGCACACTAGAATGGCTAAAATCAAAAAAGACTGACAATATCAAATGTTGACAAAAATGGAGAGCAAGTAGTATTTTTATGCATTATTGATGAGAATACAAAATGACGCAATCACTTTGGAAAACTAGCAGTTTTTCACAAAATGGAAAATATGACCTAGCAATTCCATTCCCAGACTTTCACTTATTCAACAGAAATGAAGAAATGTTTTATAGAAATAACTGTACATAAATGTTCTTGACAGCTTTATTCAAAATAGCAAAACACTGAAAAATGTCAGAATGCCCATCAACTAGAAAATGGGTAGCAGATTTTGTTATAGTCATACAATGGACCAGTACTCTACAATAAAATAAACATGCTCCCAAATCCATGTAACAATGTGATAGAGCTTTTAAAACATTTATGTTAAGTGAAGGAAGCCAGACACAAGAGTACATACTTGTATAGTTTCTTTTAAATGAGACCCTAGACTGTACAAAATTAACTATAGTGATGAGGATTAGTGTTTGCAGGGAGTGGAATGGATCAAGGATGAGGTAGGGGGAAATTAACCTAAAGGGACACAGGAGAAATCTCAGGTGGAAATAATCTATATCTTGGTTGTGATGATAACTCCACAGTTGTATACATTTGTCAGAACTCACTGCACACTTAGAATGAAACATTATATCACATGCAAATCATACTTCCTAAAGTTGGTTTAGGAAGACAAAATATATGTACCGGTATCATTGATCTTGCAGGGAAATGGTTCCAAATCACAGCTCTGCCACCTACTGTCTGGGTGACTGTAGCCTTGTCACTTAATATTTTCATGCCTCAGTGTGCTTAATGGAGGCAATTAATAGTACCTGTCTCATAGGATTGTTAGGATGGTTAAATGAGTAAATAAATGAATGTGAAGTGACAGAAGCTGCCTGGCACAACTCACCTCCATATACACCAAGAGCTTCTCTTTTTATTCTTTTTCTTTTCTGCAACATCCTCATTCAATTTTTCCACAAGGCCTGTTTCTCCCACTTCTAAAACATATACATTACTCTCCACCTTTTCCTCCTCCCTGTTCGCTAGCCTCCAGCTACACTGGACACCTTCCTTCCATTCTTGGAACTCACTAAACATCCCTTGTCTAGGATCTCTGCACCAGCTGTTTCTTCCCCTTGGGAACCTTCTTCAGCCAGAACTTTGATGATTGGCTCTTACTGTTCAGCTCTTGGCCTGAAACACCACCTCATCACAGAATGTTTTCCTGACAATGCAAATAAAGGAGTCCTCATGTGCAGCCTTTGTCTACCAATTCAATTCTTACATATTCTGTACTCTAAAAACAGCTTACAAACAAGGTACAAGGTACAAAGAAAATTTCCCTGAACCACTTGAGACTAAGATACTGATGTGAGGGTCCAGTTCCCTGTGATTTTAATGGATATTTCCTGCAAAATGGACATTGTCCTAAATAACACAATGCAACAAACAAAATTTGAAAATAAATATCATGTATTACTGTCATCTAATTCTTCGGCTCTATTCACATTTTCCAATAATTTCTGTAATAACAAAAAGATGCAATTCAAAATTATGCCTTGTATTTAACTGTCCTTAGTATGCTAACTGGGAAAGTTCATGATCACATTCTTTAAGCTAACAGGTCAGTTATTTCATAGAATGTCCTTCCACTTGTATTTGCTTAATATTTCCTTATGATTAGGTTCAATTACTTATCACCAGCAAAAATATCTCAGGAATAATACTATATTCCTCTTATTACACCCTCCCAGGAAGCAGATGGGTTTAATTCTGCCCTTCATAAGGGATACTTATTTGATTGCTTAATTAAAAGTGGTGTCTGCCAGTATTCTCCATTATAGACACTCATTTGTGTGTGTTTGTGAAGAATTACTTTATAAAAATGATTTTTATTGTCAGATTTCCAGTTTTATTTGTTCATTTATGTCTATAGGAATTAATGGTTTGTTAAGATATCCGTATGTTGTAACCTGCTGCTGTCCTTGTTGATTTTGAAGTGTCAGTTGTCCCAGGTTTGGCCAGCAGGAATCCCTTTTCAAAGTTGGTGACTTTCCTTTTGTGGCGTATTCCCATTATAACTGTACTGTCCTTGATTTCTGACACAATAAGATGCTCTGAGCTCATTTTGTTCTTTCCTTGGCCCAGCCCTGGAATCAGCTGGTTTTTTTTGTTTGTTTGTTTGTTTTTGTTTTTGGAGTATATTTCCTTTTAGTGGAAAATACAAAATACAAGCTAGAATCCCAGATCTGGGCTCTAGGTGTGTTCATTGCTATTGGAGTAATGGAGTTGAGTCCTTCCTGTGAAATGAACCAAATATGTGTGCTATACACTACTATATCATACTTTTTTCTATATTTACCTTCAAATACGTTGAAAGCTGTAAGTTTTGCATTTCAACCCAACCATACAGAATTTACTTTAGTTTTCTCCTCCTTTGAATTTGTGCTTCCCTTTTCCAAAGCTGAGAAACCTGTCTTCCATTGTTCTCAGTTTATTGTCTTCGCGATGAAATCCTATATGTGTAACCAATCTCCAATTTCTGCCACCTGTTCCTGCTACGGGTGTTCTCAGCCCACAGGGGCTCTGACACCAGGTAACTGTACTCCTCTCCCCATGCCTCCATGCTGTGCCCAGTTAATAGTTTCAGGACTAAAATAGTCCAGAAAGAAAGGGAAGAGAAAAAAAAACAGAGGAAGAGGGGTCCTGTTACATATTCTTCATGGCATTTACTGCAATGTGATTTATCTTGTTTATTTCATGTTTTAAGTCTCTCCCAACTAGAATGTAAACTCGGCCAAAGCAGTCATTTTTTTTTCTGTTTTCTTAGCAAAACATTCTTGCACTTGGGAGGCAAGAACTGGGTATTTGTCTATCCTATGATGCAGCTATAGAGACATTTTTAAAACAAAAACCCTGGACTTATTATCCTTTGAATTAAAAAGATTTGAAATTTCCTATAACTTTTCAGGTTGCAATCCGTTTCATTTCATATTTTACTCAAACTGCCTGTTTTAAATGTGCAAAGGTATGGCTTTACATTCTCATCCTATTATTTTGCAGGTTTGGAATTACCACCAGCAGGATGAAAATGCTTCTACTTTTGGCTTTAGTGATAATGTACTCTTTAAAATTTTAAGAATAGCTTAACTCTAACACCTTTCCTCCCAAAAGATTATTCAGTTGTCTAGGTTTACGAGTCATTCAATATCATATTAAGACACTGATTCAGTTGAAGATTTCTTTTGTACATTCAAAGTATGTATTTTTCCCTTCATCAATTTAATATACATATTTTATAGGATTGTAGGAATAAATGTGTAGCATATATACAATACATATAACAGACATATTTTTGATAGAGTTATAGGAGGAAAACTGCATTTAAATATAAATTGTTTTCTAGATGCCAGTGTGTTAAGTAACGTAAATCATTTTGTAGAAGATGTTGGTTTACTTGTTTTCTTGTTTCTTGATATGATCTCTTCCAGAGGGAAAAGCTTTGACTTTGAGACATTCTGCACGCTACAGCATATCCCATGTGATATGCTAGTTGCTAAGGTAACTATATTTTCCTGAAAATATCAAACTAAACAGGAGCCTGAATCATCAGTGTGTAATTTGTTATTACGTTTGTGCAAATTTTCCTCATCATTCAAATAAACATATAACATATACAAACAAACACACATACATATACTATGTGAAGATTTCAAAGATAGTTCTGGGTCATTTTTGTGACCCCTATACTTTGTCTTTGACATTCAAAAGCACAGTAACACTGCAGTTAACTACAAAAAGATGTCAACATGTTTTATGGCTGGGAAATCACATACAATCTTCAGTCCCACTAATCAGAAGAACGTGATAATTTAAACTGGGTTGGACATATGTTTGCAATCTCTTTACACCAGAATTTGCCAAGCAAAGAAGCAGAAAAGTTAATTTGTGGGGAAACTGAGAAATTAAACTTTATTCATAGTTTTAATCTATTATGTCAAAGAAATTGATGATTCTAAAGCAACTGAATTTTTTAAGCAAAATTTCAAAACAGTGTCTTTCCTTCAAAACACCTTAGTCAATGTAGTTACTGTGTATTGTTAGCTATGCATATGCAGGATTTTCATCTGAAAGTAATGAATCTGTAAGTATTTTTCCTGTCATTCATATATTTCATTTTTAACTTTTATTTAATAAATATAAACTTTTCCAAAGTACAACTTTAAGATTATAGTGGCTTT